GAGTGGTAGTGGTGGAGTCATGAGGAGTGAGAGTTCAGATTACAGATACGCTGTAAAGACAGAGCCAGCAAGAACTGCTGATGGATTGGATGTGGAGTGGAGAGGAAATGAGGAGTCATGGATGACGTCTAAGTTTTTTTTCCTGAGCAGAATCTTAGGAATGATAGGGAAGATGCTGGGTAGGGGGGGAAGAGGGATGGTGGATGGGGTTCTGTCTACTCATTGTGGACGTACTAAATTTGAGTGGTCCATTTGACATCCAGGTCTAGCTATCAACATTATAAGGCCAGAAAATTTTTGATCATGCCTCATTACATGTTTTGATGAATAATTAAGGACTATAACTATTTTATAGTATGACTAAACCAGATAAACTCACATAATTTTTAAAAAAGGGAATAAATATGACCATGAATACTGCAACATAGTTAACCATGGGCTAATATTTTCTGCGTTTTGTAAAAGTTAGGAACTGTAGTTTTCTTGTAGTCTGTTTAACCAACTCAGAAACTTAAAATGCTATATTTTGTATTAGCTAAAATGTCTTTCACAAATTTTGTACATGTGAATATTAATGCTAATAAAAGTTCTAATTTATGCTGGTGGTTATGATTGAAATAGTCACTCAGAATGCTTTATTATGCTATACTCTATACATCTGCAACATAAAACCTTAAAAATTACTCTGTGTTTTCATATTTTTATTTCTCTTGAGGGGGAGGAGTACTATTTTGCTCTTAAAAGTGTGAAATTAATAAAAATTCAAATACAGTTAGATTATTGGGGAAAAAATCAAATAACTAAAATCTCCCTTTGCCAGTTTTCATTCACTCTGTGCTCTAGCAATCCATAATCTCCCCAAATGGGAACCTCTGCTAGAAGTTTAGTAAATACTCTTCCAGATTGTCTTACACACATTTACATACATACATGCATGTGTGCACAAACACATTTATACATAGAATTCTTTTTTAAAACATAAAATTCATATGCAGCTTGCTCTTTTCACTTAAAAATTATCTCTTGGAGACCTTTCTCAGTCATTTTTAAAATGTATTATATAGTACTCTATGGCTTATTTAACTTTACTGTATATATTTAAGATTTTTAGAGTTTTGATTGTTACAGCGCTAAACTGGACATGATTGGGCATCATTGGTCAGATGTATATTTATGCTAATATGCCATTATTTCTATGGAACAGACTACAGAAGTAAATTTCTGAGTTAGAAGATAGGTACACCATTAATTTTGATGGGTGCACCATTAATTTGCCCTCAAAAAAGAAGACCCAATTTATTCTTTTTTTTAATTTTTATTTTATTATGTTATGTTAATCATCATACATCATTAGTTTTTGATGTAGTGTTCCATGATTCATTGTTTGCATATAACACCCAGTGCTCTATTCAATACGTGCCCTCTTTAATACCCATCACCAGGCTAACCTATCCCTCCACCCCCCTCCCCTCTAGAACCCTCAGTTTGTTTCTCAGAGTCCATAGTCTCTCATGGTTTGTCTCCCTCTCTGATTCCCCCCTTTCGTTTTTCCCTTCCTACTATCTTCTTTTTTTTTTTAACATATAAAGTATTATTTGTTTCAGAGGTAGAGGGCTGTGATTCATCAGTCTTACACATTTCACAACACTCACCATAGCACATACCCTCCCCAACGTCTATCACCCAGCCACCCCATCCCTCCCACCCCCCACCACTCCAGCAACCCTCAGTTTGTTTCCTGAGATTAAGAATTCCTCATATCAGTGAGGTCATATGATACATGTCTTTCTCTGATTGACTTATTTCGCTTAGCATAATACCCTCTAGTTCCATCCACGTCGTTGCAAATGGCAAGATTTCAGTTTTTTTGATGGCTGCATAATATTCCATTGTATGTATATACCACATCTTCTTTATCCATTCATCTGTCGATGGACATCTTGGCTCTTTCCATAGTTTGGCTATTGTGGACATTGCTGCTATAAACATCGGGGTGCACGTACCCCTTCGGATCCCTACATTTGTATCTTTGGGGTAAATACCCAGTAGTGCAGTTGCTGGGTCGTATGGTAGCTCTATTTTAAACTTTTTGAGGAACCTCCATACTGTTTTCCAGAGTGGATACACCAGCTTGCATTCCCACCAACAGTGTAGGAGGGTTCCCCTTTCTCTGCATCCTTGCCAGCATTTGTCGTTTCCTGACTTGTTAATTTTAGCCATTCTGACTGGTGTGAGGTGATATCTCATTGTGGTTTTGATTTGGATTTCCCTGATGCTGAGCGATGTTGAGCACTTTTTCATGTGTCTGTTGGCCCTTTGGATGTCTTCTTCGGAAAAATGTCTGTTCCTGTCTTCTGCCCATTTCTTGATTGGATTAGTTGTTCTTTGGGTGTTGAGTTTGATAAGTTCTTTATAGATTTTGGATACTAGCCCTTTATCTGATATGTCATTTGCAAATATCTTCTCCCATTCTGTCGGTCGTCTTTTGGTTTTGTTGACCCAATTTATTCTTACACCAAGTGCCCTTTTGTCTGGTTCCAAATCTACACTTGTTATTAACAATATTTTCTTTTTTTCATTTTTACCACTCTAAGGAGCAAAACATTTATATTGTCTTAGTTTTCATTTCTCTCAATATTTTCATTGACCTTTTGTTTTTTCAACTCCTTCAGAAGAAAGTCTTCAATAAATTGTTTTATGTAGAAAGTGAACATCAAATATTTGAATGCAACTTCATTGATGGAAAAAAACAGGGAGATAAAAGGTGAAATGGGTGAGGGAGAGTGAAGGCCTAAAATGTGGCAGAACACGGTGGTTTAGAGAGAAGGCAGAAATAGTATGGGGGTGAAGGCTGCAGCTGAGCATCAGGGGCAGAAGTGTCGAGTAAAGGTGAAGTTTGGGAGATGGGTTTGGAAAGAGTTCTAATCCCTGAGGAACTGGAGGCCCAGAGGCCCTTCCCCTGCCCTCAGCAGCAAGGAAGGAGGAATAAACAGCTGGATAGATTCTCTCCCTCATCCCCCAGGGCATGCATTGCTCTGGCTTTTAAAGGCATTTTTATTTTAAAGGCAAGAGTCCACCAGTAGGAAAAATTAGAAGTGTCCAGCTGAGGTAGACTCCTGATTATGGATGCAGATTGACCAAAAATTCTTCCCTTATGAGGATGGGCAGATTCATTACACTGAATTTCCACAAGTACATATATTTCTTTGTTAACTTTTTAGAATTGTTATGAACAATTGTAAAGTTTAAATTGTGAAAGTATGCAGATCATCTGAGATGTTCTGGATTATCTGGGACCAGTTTGCCTCAGTGATGCAGACTACGAAGGAAGCACATGTTGTGCTGGTGTTTGCTGTTTAAAATTAAGCACTAATGCGTAGTTGGCACCTTCTGTGACACTTTTACTTTCTAGGGCTATAAACACAGAGTCTATAAAATGCTTGAATAGTTTATAGCATTTTTAAAGGATCACTTCATTGTTCAAAGTTTCTCCTTAATTTCACTTTATTTAAAAAATTATTTAAAATGAGTGATTCATACCAGATTAATTATGTGATTAATATGTGATTTTTAAAAAATGGTAATTCCAGTAATTAGAGACCAATAATTTTTTACTTCTAAACCTAGGTTTTGCTGTTTTCTAAGTGTAATAGAAATTTGGATTTGGAATATACCTTGGTTATGACTTAAATGAATAATGTTCATTTTAAAAGAAAATTAAGGGAAAAAACTGAGAATTACTTTACCTTAGATTTTGTGGGTGTTCCTTTCTTGTGGTTAACCATAATTTCATCGGAAAATGAACATTAAAATTAGTCATAAAGAGACTAGTTATTATAACTTGAGCTGTTCATTAAACCATCGAAGTAGATGAATATAGGATGACATTTATTTTTTAACATTTAAGCCTTTTCATGTAGGTAACTGGACAAACTTCTACAAATCCTTCAGAGCCTTAAGAAAAGGAATTTATCTTGCTACTTATTTCTTTTTCTTTTTTCTTTTTTCTTTTTTTAAGATTTTATTTGAGAGAGAAAGAGAGCACGTGCAAGAGCAGTGGGAGGGGCAAAGGGAGAGGGAGAAGCAGGCTTCCCACTGAGCAGTGAGCCTGATGCAGGGCTTGATCCCAAGACCCTGAGATCATGACCTGAGCCCAGATCAAGAGTCAGATGCTTAACCAACTGAACCACCCAGGTGCCCCAGGGGCATATAGATTTAGACTCTCCCTCTGCCTGAGCAAATGCCTCTTTTTAGATGTCTGAAGACATTTTGGCTTCCAGGGATGACCTGCAGGTCTCTCTCCATCTCTGGCTGAACCTTTCTAAACATGGAAGGTATCAGAGAATGGTGAGCTCCAGGGTCTATAGGGGTAAAAGGCAAAAGTTACAGAATGAGGTATACAGATAAGGTAACATATAATTGTTTTTAATGTATTTATTTGTTTATTCCTTTTCCTTGATTGTTCTAGAGTACCATTGCTCTCACTAAAGTAACAGGCTTTGAAAACAAGCTTCTTGGGCAATAAAATAGAAAGTGTGTTTTGGTAGTTTAAAATGATAATGTGTGTTTCTGAACATTTTAGTTAAAGATAGCTGTTTGGGACTGGGAGAACTGGTTTATCCAGTGTCTATGACCTGAGTAAGAGGGTTATATATATTAACTAGAAGCTCTGATAATGGATCTGTTATGTAGAAATTTTTCTTTTTAAGAAAATTATCCTATTTTATATGTATAAATGAACATTTGTATGGGCAGAAATTTTGTTATCTCTCTCCTGAAGTTCCCTTACTAAAGCAAAATTGCCAAGTATTAAAAGGCAAGGAATTTCTTCCTAGGTATAAAATTTGCTGGTTTATCAGTTGGATGCAACTTATTCTATGTATCTTTCTTAAAAATTATATATATCTGAGTATATATTCTTCCTGAAGAATATTCTCCAAGTATTATGTACTTAAAAATGATAATCTGACTTGATTATGTTCTTTCTTTTTTCTTTTCAGAAAGTATCTATATGTCACATCTTCTTTTAAAGGAGCATTTAAAAATGAAGTTAAGAAGGCAGAAGAAGCAGTCAAGATTGGTATGTGCACATATTCTGAGATATGTACTGTTCTAGCATTGTAGGAATGACCACAGTTAATCAAATTTCTGCCTCTCAGGAACTTCATAATTTTTCTATCTCTAGCTTTGTTTAATTATGGTGTTATTTATTATTATAACATATATTGCTATATCTTATTATTTACTGTCTATTATTCCAAGTACACACTTGGAACGAGATTGATGTATATCGATATAAGAAATTCTGGTTGGCATGATGCTGAGTTAGATCATTTTAGAGACTAGCATTACATGTACTTTAAGAAGGAATGTTCTACACATTCACTACTCCCTCCCCGCCACACACAATGAGGACAAAGCCATGCTTTCCCAGTGGTCCAGGAGCAAGGAATAACTTTAATCTATATTTCATGGATTTTAGAGAGTTTTCAGTCAGCCAAACATTCAGTCGTAACTCTTTAATTTGTATGTATAAAGTTATGCCCTGTCAACTGTAATGTCTAAGAGGAAGCCCAGTGTGGCTGCCTCCACCGGGCAGGTGTGAGAGCTATGGAAGAAATATAGGATTTTCTGAGATTATTGTCTATAAGCCATTCTCACTGGTCACAGCCATAAGGTGTGTGTGTGTGTGTGTACATATATATAACACTCATTTAAAATTGCTTGAAAGAATTTCCTGGTGTTATAATTATCTTGCTTCTGCTTCCAGCCGAACTCGTGTTGAAAGAGGCACAAGTCACAGTAAACCGGCCTGACAAGACTTCTTTGTCTTCTGCCAAGGTATGACACATAGTCTTCTTAAATGGTAAAGTGTCCTTTGCTTTTTCCTGTGCACAGTTGTCTCTTATCATTTACTTCCTAAGCTTATAAACACAGACAAGCTCGGAAGCTTAAGCTGATTTTCATCCAGGTAAACAGAACAGAGGCGTGCAGAGAAAGGAGAGAAGCGTCAGCAGTGAGAGAAGGCTGAGTCTGAGAGCAAAGATAAGCAACGTGGGGTGAATTTGGAACAGTGGGGACAAGTACCGTAGCTCATTTCTTTAAAATGAAAAGTAATAAGAGAAAAGGAGAAAATAATGAAAAACTAGCAGAAAAAACTAGCCTATCAAGTTTCCTTGAAAATATCTTTTCAAATTATTGCTCCCTACAGACCTGAATAAATGGGGAAAGCAAGGAGAAGACTAATAAGCCATCCTTTTTTCTGGTGCTAGGAATTATGTGCTATAATTATGAATATTAATAACAGTACTTCCAGCTTACAAAACTCTTTTCTTATGAGTTGCTCCACACAATTCATAAACATTTTCTGTAATCCTTGCAATACGCCCATGAGTAAGATAGGTTATAAAGGACTATTATTATTAATTATAATGTATGGCAACTAAGGAAAAGAATATTGCTGCAGGACATGAGTTATAAGTTTGGCAGCTTTTACCAAAAATGTGGTGAATTATGAAGCAACCTTTTATTTGCTTGTATATAAAGGAATACCAAGGTATAGGGAGAAAAAAATGCCTCACTTCACTTTTCCTTCATTCTTTTCTGCAGACTCAGTATATGAATTCTTTCTGTGGTTTGCCCTTGAACTTTCAAGGACAAGGGCTGTGTCTGATACAGAGCTCTCTCATATCTAAAGATCATGAATAGGGAATGAAATCAAAGGGTGGCACCTGGTAATGCCCCAAAGTTACCTATGGCTTTCCCCAAATTCTCTAACTTTTTTTCTTTTCAATTATTATTTTAAGGTAAACATAGACCTATCTTACTGTTACTGATTTTTAGAGAAAGGCTTAAGTTTTTTAAATTTTGTCACAAAGAAATCAATTTCCTTGGCTTTATGTATTTGAGAGACAAGAGAAACAGACTCTAATGGGTCAGGACCCTGCTTTCTTCTTGCCTTATCCTTAACTTCTCACTGCCTCTTTGCTCTGTGTTCTGAGTGCATTGACAGGAGGGATGGGGAAGTGTTTGACCACCTTGCTTTGTTGCTCAGCAAAGAGAGCAAAGCAGAATGACCTTGGCTTCCAACCTCTTAAATTCCTCGAGGCAGTTGAGTGGTTGCATGTGAAGTGAAATACCAATCATTTTACCATTTGCTTTTACTTTAAAGTCAGTGAAAATAATGTTCAGTGAGTGGTATACTCACCAAATGAGATGCCCAACTTTCACATCAGGTGGATGGAGCACATTAAAAATCTGTTGTTATTTGTGAAATAATAACAATGCATTATTTTTTTTCTCCTGGTTAGAGAGAGCATACAAGAGATAGGGCAGTGAATGAGCCAGTAGATCAAATTAAAAGACAAGATAAGAAAGAGAGGTGGGCATTGGTATTGAGGTACTCTGAAAGGGAGAAATCCTAGGGTTGGGCTGTCCTATAAAGGGACAGCTTGGGGAGTATTCGGGGTATCTGGAACTTGATATAAAGGAGACATTTTCTTATGGTGACTGACAAAAGTTTTTAATAGCAACTTTGTTTTTCCTGAAGAAGCTTTAGTGATTGATCACATGATTTAGCATTTTTTGTCATTGTTCTCACAGTCAAAACTCAGGCTTTGCTAAGCTTTTGTGTAATTTGTGTGAAAGCCAGTGTGATCTTATAGGGAGCAATGGCTCTTTTCTAAAAGGCAGAGAGAGAACATTGGAATATGTGCAAAAAGAGAACCGTGGGCTAGGATTTGGTGTGTCTCTTAGCTACTGCAGCTGAATCATTTAACAAGTATTTATTGTCTACCATGGCACAGTTGCATTAGGCAATGTGACCTATCACTATTACCCTTGTGAAACATTTGGATAATAGGATAATAAATATCAGCTCAGCTTTCATTAATTTAATAGAATTATGTTCTCTCCTAACCAAATGTACTTCTCCAGGACGTATTACAGAAAGCTTTGGAAGATGCAGAAGCAAAGCATAAGATTCTTAAAGAGAAACAGAGGTAAGATGTAAGATTTTCCGTTCACCAGAATCCTCTGCACTTTGATAAGACAAATTCTGATTTCTGAGGAGACAGATTTGGTGGTTAATGTGATAACTTCTCTTTCTCAGCCTATGACATCTTATTATATTAAGCATAATATGGTCAAAATCCCCCAACCACATAATCATTGAGAGTATTTATAAAATATATATTTGCATGCATACATGTGTTTACATTATGTTAAAACTTCTGAATACAGAGTGAAAAATTAGCTCAGTGTCCAGTTGAGGAAGTAACTCTGCCCAGAGGATCAGCTGACTACTTTCTCTGTGTCCTTTGGCAGATACAAGCCTTTGGAGGGTTGGTCCTGATTTCTTTTCACTTTTAGTACTGCTTAAAATTTAAAATTGAAAATGTTTCAAATAAATATATCACTATAGTTAAGATAAAAATAGCAAGCCTAACTTACAAAACCATTATTTACATTTGTAAAGTTGACTTGGTCTCCAGCTCAGGTGTTAAACAAGTTAAACTGAGAATATTCAGTGTTGTCTAAGTAAGGTCAGACTCTGAAAGCTGGGATAACTTTGAGAAACAGATTTTTAAGGAAGTATTACTAGTTTACAGAATTATCTTTTGTGAACTATGGAGTGCTATATAACCATAACTTTCCTCAAAGCTGAAATTTGAAATGTTAACTATGCATTTATAAAAATAAATACTAAATAAATCTCATAGAAATTTTCATTAAAAAGCAAAGTCCTCTTTATTTTTTAAAAGTTTTTATTTAAATTCCAGTTAGTTAACATACAATGTTATATTAGTTTCAGGTGTGCAATATAGTGATTCAGCACTTCCATACATCACCCTGTGCTCATCACAGCAGGTGCACTCCTTAATCCCCATCACCTATTTCCCGCATTCCCCCACCCCCACCCCTCTGGTAACCATCAGTTTGTTCTCTATCGTTAAAAGTCTGTTTCTTGGTTTGTCTCTCTCTCTTTTTTTTCCCCCTTTGCTCATTTGTTTCTTAAATTCCACTTATGAGTGAAATCATACGGTATTTGTCTTTCTCTGCCTGACTTATGTCACTTAGCATTATACCCTCTAGATCCATCCATGTTGTTGCAAATGGCAAGATTTCATTGTTTTTGTGCCTGAGTAGTATTCCATTGTGTGTGTATACATACACACACACACACACGTGTGTATGTATATATATAAATACACCCCATCTTCTTTATCCATTCATCAATTGATGGATGCTTGGGCTGTTTCCATAGCAAAGGCCTCTTTAAAGATTTCCAGAAAGAAAAATCTGGTTGGTGAATTGTTTGTAGTTACATTGATATGCATGAAAGGTGATTGATCTACATTTTATTAATAACAATGCCAGTTAGTTGGTATGAACTTGTTTTTAGAACAAAATACTTTTTAATTTATGATTGTTTTTTTAAAAGATTTATTGATTTTGAGAGAGAGACATACACACACACACACACACAGAAAGCATGAGGGAGAGAGAATATCTCAAGCAGACTCCCCACTGAGCACAGAGCCCAACACCAGGCTTGATCTCACGACCATGATATCATGACCTGAACTGAAACCAAGAGTTGGACCCTTAAACCAACTGTGCCACCCGGGTGCTCCCAAAATGCTTTTTTTTAAAAAAAAAAAATTAAAGACAGGGCGCCTGGGTGGCTCAGTTGGTTAAGCGACTGCCTTCGGCTCAGGTCATGATCCTGGAGTCCCGGGATCAAGTCCTGCATCGGGCTCCCCGCTCAGCGGGGAGTCTGCTTCTCCCTCTGACCCTCCCCTCTCTCATGCTCTCTGTCTCTATCTCATTCTCTCTCTCAAATAAATAAATAAAATCTTTAAAAAAAATAAAAATTAAAAAATTAAAAAATTAAAAATTAAAGACAATCAGTATGCCACTTACTATTGCAGAGTGATTATGTAACACCCTGTTTTGGGGTCCCTTACATAGTCAGTATTCTTTTTTATTGAAGAGTAAGGATTTAATATTTAGTGTACATTTTTGGGAAAAAGTGTGATTTGTATATATTTGACCCAACATGTATGTGCTTAAAAAATATATACTATGTTGGGGCGCCTGGGTGGCTCAGTTGGTTAAGCGACTGCCTTTGGCTCAGGTCATGATCCTGGAGTCCGGGATCGAGTTCCGCATCAGGCTCCCTGCTCAGCGGGGAGTCTGCTTCTCCCTCTGGTCCTCACCCCTCTCATTCTCTCTCTCTGTCATTCTCTCTCTCTCAGAAATAAACAAAATTAAAATATATATATATATATACTATGTTAATCCAAGTCAATAACTTCCTTTAAAGTCTAATGTACTCTGTATATCCTGTCTACATAGAAGAACAACTAGGACTTTTTCTTTGTCCATTAACGATAGATGTATTTAACCAGTCCAGTAAGCATGTTATGTCAGTCATAATGGCACGTTATCATAAATTTGAGAAGAAAAGGCTATTTTTGTGGAATGAGGAGAGCTACAAGATGGGTAGAGGGGAAGAATTATATTACCATTCTTGATAGGGAGAGGAAAATACATTGCTCGTGAGGCACCTACTGTGTTGCAGGTTTATACTTAACATTCTCTCTTTTAGTCATCATAGCATCCCAAATGGCTATGTACGCGTTATTCCCATTTTTCAGATGAGACAGACAGTTGAAGTGACTCATACATAGTTATTACATGGTTATTGCAGAGATGAGCTTATATTTGAAGCCAGCTCCATCTTTCCGATTTTTTTTTAAAAGATTTTATTTATTTGAGAGAAAGAGAATGAGAGACAGAGAGCACGAGAGGGAAGAGGGTCAGAGGGAGAAGCAGACTCCCTGCCGAGCAGGGAGCCCGATGTGGGACTCGATCCAGGGACTCCAGGATCATGATCTGAGCCGAAGGCAGTCGCTTAACCGACTGAGCCACCCAGGCACCCTAAAAATAAGTTTCTTTTATTTAAAGATTTTATTTATTTATTTGAGAGAGAGAGAGCACAAGAGGGAAGCGGGTCAGAGGGAGAAGCAGACCCCCCGCTGAGCAGGGAGCCCGATGCGGGACTCAATCCGGGGATTCCAGGATCATGACCTGAGCCGAAGGCAGTCGCTCAACCGACTGAGCCACCCAGGCGCCCCATCTTTCCAGTTCTTACATCCAGGCACTTTTCATGGCTCCAAGCAGTCTCCTGTTACTGCAGTTGTTTCTATCATATTCTTCTGTGTCTCAATTTCTGTTTTTACACTTTTAATAAAGAAGTCACATAAAACATAAGATAACAGGGCAGAGTCCGAAAAACAGGAGCTCATGTCTGTTACCCTTGTAAACTTGCCTTATTAACTCTGATTTACCTTTGATTTTGGAGGAGGAGAGAAAACGACAGAATATCTTTTGGCACATTTTAATCTATATAGGATATTGAGAGGCTTGAGGACATGCTGAAAGTTAGAAATCACATCGAGTGTTAAAAATACCTACATCTTAAAAGTCAAATCATCATGTTTCAAAAATGCTGCAGTGTACATACATCTTAGACCACGTAACATTTCCCCTGGGTAGTTTATATATAGTAACAAGATACCTGGGTATTTTATATATAGTTTCTTTGATGTTTACCTTCCCATTTTAATTATTGGCAGTTTATCAATTGTATATTCTTATTTAATAATTTTTTTTTAACTTTTCTAAATATAATGCCAGAGAATTAAAAAAAGCCAGGACACTGTGCTTGATCTTTGGGGTGAACATAGAAAATCGAAGCCAAGCTGGGATGTTCATTTACAGTAATAACCGCCTGATCAAAATGCATGAGAAAGTGGGCCCACAGTTGAAACTGAAGTCCTTGTAAGTATATTTTTGTTTTCAGAGGCATAGGCAGCATGAGGGAGGCTGCAGTAAGATTCTGTCTGTGGAGTTAAATGAGTGATTAATCATAATGGGAGCAGGTGTCCTGTCCTCTGGTCACCCTTCCCATCAATATGCAGGCATTAATCTGCCTAATTTATAATATTGGCAGAGATGCATGCCTGTCCTAAGGCAAAAGCATACTTTGGGAAATATTTTCAATACATTTCCTGAGCAACTTGATGTTTTACCGTTTCTAGCACCATCTACTCGGGTTAGGTTCTTAGTATTTTACCAATTTAAAAATAATACAAGCATAATAAAGAAATTTTAGGGAAAAAAATCCATAGTCTTATAAAGCAACCCTGTTAACATTTTGTGCAACCCTTAACATGTGTGAGTTCTTGCCAGTTACCTTCATGAACGTGTATTATTAACACTCTCCAGCCTAGTTGGCTTCCAGAGTAACACATTCTGGTGCTTTCCTGATGGTCTGAAACTCCACGGGCTGCTTTCATCAATTATGTAGAGAGTCAGACAAGGTAATTATGATCAGTAAAATGGCTTAGGGGTCAAACACAATAATTGTGACTAGTAGGATGGCTCAAGGGAACATTTTTCATCTTATTTCTCACTGTCGAGGTATTAGAAGTTCATTCATTTGTTCATTCAGCAAGCTCTCGTGTTGCAGTATCAGGCGCCAGGCACTGCACTAGGCTCTGCAGACAAGATGGTGAACACCTGGTACCCTCTGCTAAGAAACGTACAGTCCAGTGAAAGGGACAGTATATAAAATACGTATTTTTTTATATTCTGTGGAAACAGCGAGAATGATCTTTAAAAAAAAAAAAATTACTCTCTTGCTTAAAACCCCACTGCATGTCGAATAGAGCTGGTTACCATGGTCTTCCAGTGATCTGGAAGATCACTCTGCCTGGCCCTGTGACAGTCCCCATCCTACTCACCTTCTCAAACCTTCTCCTTACCCTGGCAGCTTCCTTTTTCTCACATATCCTAAGCTCGCTCCTGCCTTAGTGCCTGGCGCCTGCCCTCCCTCTGCCTTGAACCTTCTGTCCTCAGATCTCTGTACTGCTGGTCCTGGCGTGTTACTTAGGCACCAACTCTAAAGTTCCCTCCATAGGAAGGTCTTCCTGGACTGTCTGATTCAAGTTGGCCCCTACAATCAGCCCCTCCACCTTACCACTCTTCACGTTACAGCACCTGCTTTATTTTCCTCCTACCCCTTATCACCATCTGAAAGGATCTGGTAACCCTTACTGCCTGTTACCCTTCAATATAAGAGACACTTTATAAGCAGGGACCTTCTTGTTCAATACTGCATTCCTAGTTCCTGGAATAGGGCCAGGTGCTATGGATGGATGGATGGATGGATGGATGGATGGATGGATGGATGGTTGGATGGATGGATGGTGGGATGAATATATAGGCAAGCATCAGGTGCAGAAAGAGCATTGGGAGGGGTAGTCAGCCAAACTGGGGGAAGTTGAGTCAGGCTTCCTGGAAGAAATGATGCCCAAACGTAGACTTACAGAATGAATAGTGAAGGGAGGGCAGCTTGGAAGGGGAAAGTAATGGAAAACATCATAGGCAGCAGCTCCACATTGGGAAGGCTTGGTTTGTGTGCCTTGCCAAGGGAAGTTGGGAGAGCTAGATAACTGGATACTCTTTCCCAAAACAGGGAAAATAACCAGAATATTTTGTCACTAAGCAGAAATATCCAAGTTACATACATTGTAAGCTGCTAAAAATCTGAAAAAAAAAATTTATCCATCAGACTCACTGGCAGATACCAGTTACTTTACAGAATAATCCAGCCCTATGTTCCTTTAGTGGAATTCACTAAGCACCCCACAGACCTCTGCAATGATGAGGAAAAATCCAACCTGACAGATGAAATGAGGATGGAAAAAGTGACTCTTTGGCCAGATCATTAAGAGGGTCATGTCAGTTTATTTCAGCAAAACATTGTTAGTGGTTTCTAATGCTAAAAGGCCTCCTCTTCCCACCCACCCTGATTTCCATGTAAGGTTTAGGTTTGGAAAAGGAGTCATATTAATTTAGTACCGGTGTGCATTAAGAGATTTTTTTTTTATTATGAGACCAAACATACCTAAAATTACCATAGTTTTATGTAACAAAATACAGTTTTAACTCGTTAAACTTTGACGTGGTCTAGACCAAGTGAATCAGCTTATTTGTTTAAAAAAAACAACAAACAAACAAAAAAACTGATTTCAAAAGACCAAGGTATATTTGCTTTTTCTTTTTCCTTAGCTGAATTTCGCAGAATTTACTTATGTATTTATGTATTTTCCCAGACTCGGTGCAGGCGTGGTTGGAATTGTTAATATACCCTTGGAGATCATGGAGCCATCCCATAATAAGCAGGAATTTCTCAATGTTCAAGAGTATAATCAACTACTAAGAGTCATGGGGCAGTACTTGGTCCAGTACTGTAAGGACACCGGAATCAGTGAGTATTCAGTGGTCACAGTAAGAGATACTTAATCGAGAGTCAATTTATGTGATTTCTTTAAGCTGGAATGATTGCACTGATTTAAGCAACTGGTAACCCAAAGCCCTGAAAGAGAGCTCTTTTTACTTATTAAAATAATAATAATAATATGGATGCCTGGGTGGCTCAGTCGGTTAAGAGTCTGCCTTTGGCTCAGGTCATGATCCCAGGGTCCTGGGATCGAGTCCCATGTTGGGCTCTCTGCTCAGTGGGAGTCTGTTTGTCCTTCTCCCTCTACCTGTTTAGCGCTCTCTCTCTCTCTCTCAAATAAATAAGATCTTTTAAAAATAATAATAAATAAGAGAAATGAGAAAGGAACCAGTCTCAGAATCTTTCCCAGAGTATTATGTGAAAAATGAAGCAGCAGATTAAAAACTGTAAGAGAGGGCAGTCAGTAGAAAGAGAGCTGATCATGGAGGTAGGAAGCAGAAGTTTGCTTGAGGAAGGCCTAGGGGGCCACTCCGAGACTCTACTGTGTGGGAAGGAGCACATAGTTCCATACAGACTTGAGAAGCTCCCCTAGCATTGTTATGTCATGCCGTAGCATAATCATTGTTGACCGTGGATAATCGTAGATGTGTGTTAAACCTTGTTTTGTAAGGTTAACAAGTTTAGAATATGTTAATGAAGATTTCGATTAAAAATCACTGAAATAAAAATATTCAGAAACTTTAAAAAAAAAATCTTATTTATTTATTTATGAGAGCATGCAAGCATGTGAGCAGGGGGGAGGAGCAAAGGGAGAGGGAGAAACAGGCTTCCAGCTGAGCAGGGAGCCCCACACAGGGTTCGATCCCAGGACCCTGGGGTCATGACCTGAGCTGAAGGTAGATGCTCAACTGACTGACCCACCTAGGTGCCCCCCCCTTTTAAATTTTATTTATTTATTGATTGATGAGAAAGAGAGAGAGAGAATGCGTGAGCAGTGGGGAGGAGCAGGCTCCCAGGTGAGCAAGGTGCCCATATATTCAGAAACTTAAGATAAACTTTAGTTATCTGGAAAATTTGGCTTATTCAGATCACTTCATTCTCCAGAGATACCTGAACAATGAGATGGTGTGCTGTGCATTAATGAAATAAACTTCCTTTAAGTTATGCAGACATAAGGCTTCATTTATGGAAAGAAATAGATAGGCTACTGTGTTTGTTCAATGATTTTCATGAAGCACGTATAATTCATGCATATCAAAAATTATGTCTCTACCCTTGAGACAACTTAAAATCTTACTGCTCTACTTGAAGTTGTGATTTTAGAATATTTTCTTTTCTTTTGTACTCAACTTAGCTCAGCGCTGAAATTTTCTTACAGCCGTGAAACAGGAAAGAGTACAGGAACTCAGGGGAGAAAAAAAAAGAGTGGGAATGAAGGTGCAGGCACAGATTTCCTGCCAGAGCTGGGTTTTCATGTCATGGTCTAAAATGTACTCAAAGTGAGCAGCATCAGCATCACCTGAGAGCTCGTTAGACATACAGCATCTCAGACCTGCTGGCCTACACTCCGCATGTCAGCAAGATCGCCAGTGATCTGTAGGCATGTTTGAGTTTGAGAAGCACTGCCCTGAAGAGTATACCCATGTCATACTTGCTTAGCATAGACACACTTTTTCCACATGTATTTTTTTTCTCATAGACATGTCTGAAGTTATACTGAAAGTAGGAACAAGTACCTTATTTGGCAGGTTATGCTTAAAGCTGTAGAAAACAGAGGGCTAAGCAGAGTGAGCTATAAATCAAGGATCTACTCTCTGGTCTTGAAATGCTAGCATGACATAAAAGAAAAAACATTAAGCATTTGAAAGTTGTGTCACTTCTCCATTCTCCTCATGTTTTCTCTGTGACCTTCCTTGTCATGCTCATCCTTTCCATAAGGAGTAATCTCAGAAAGAGGCATGAAACTTAAAGGTGATAGGAATAACCTCTGTCCAGCCCACACTTCCTCAGGACAGTCATATTGCGTCCTGTTCTGGGGGGACTCTCCTGAAGCCCTTTTTCCTGGTGTGGGGGGCCCTCCTAACAACTGTGCTCTCCACTCTTGGGTGTCACTTGCCTGCTTTCCCCCTCTTTGTAACTCCCCATCCCTATCTCAACCTAATTTTTTCAGAAACTTCTCAGTGGATGTACTAAGATTCAAAATAAGTTTGGTTTGGCCTTTTGGCCGGAACCGCCATCTTCCGGTAATTCGACAAAATGACCAACACAAAGGGAAAGAGGAGAGGTACCCACTATATGTTCTCTAGGCCTTGTAGAAAACATGGTGTTGTTCCTTTGGCCACATACATGGGGATCTACAAGAAAGGTGATACTGGGGACATCAAGGGAATGGGCACTGTTCAAAAAGGAATGCCCCACAAATGTCACCATGGCAACACTGGAAGAGTCTACAGTGTTACTCAGCATGCTGTTGGCATGGTTGTAAACAAACAAGTTAAGGGCAAGAGAATTAATGTACGCATTGAGCATATGAAACACTCAAGGAGCCGAGATAGCTTCCTGAAGCGGGTGAAGGAAACTGATCAGAAAAAGAAGGAAGCCAAAGAGAAAGGTACTTGGGGTCAACGGAAGTGCCAGCCTGCCCCGCCCAGAGAAGCACACTTGGTGAGAACTGATGAAAAGGAACCCAAACTGCTGGAACCCAATCCCTAGGAATTCATGGCGTGATAAATGTAAAGAAAATAAAAGACCTCAAGACTGTAAAATTGTTTCTCTGAATTGAGTAGAAGTGTGGTGTCCTTTCCCCCCTAAAGATATTTAAAGCAAAAAAAAAAAGTTAGGTTTGTATTTTAATTATTATTATTAATACCATGTTGTTTTCCTAGTTTCATAATTGCCTATGAATTGATTCCAGGCTGGGGGTACTTTTACAAAAGGTGTTCCTCAAGGAGGAAGTCAGGGGGTGGAGACAGGAGAGCGAGCATGTGTATCTGTTCACATATATGACAGCCTCATCCCAAAACTTCCTTAACGAATGGAATAAGTAATCACGGTCAGAATTGGTAGTCTCAGGAACTGTGCTGAGACCTTCAACGACTTTGTGTATTAATTCCCGCAGGAATAACCAAAGTTATCTAATGCTTGCCTAGTACTCTAAAAGCCAGTATTATAGGGCACACAGTTTTAATGAAAAGTATTTGGGTAGTTTATTGCCTTATAAATAAAAGATGCAGTCTTTGTATTTGCTATAAATCTGATCTGTTTCTATGGAAAATTGAGGCCTTGTAAAAATCAAATCCACAGAAAGGCAAATGGAGAGGTAATGACTTTGTGTCATTTATCAAATCTGCATTTATGTTTGGCACAGTTGATGCTAAGAACCTCAGAAGTATTTCTCTTTAGTCTGACCTCACCTCATTGTCTGCTACTATGTTTCCTGAAGCTTTGTGCGTTCTTAAAGTGAAATGGAAATATTGATCATCAGCTTTCTGGAGTAGGGAGAGAAGGAGAAGGAAAAGATAGAAAAAAAACATCAAATGAAATTTGGGTTTGAACAGAAGGAATTACATAGAAATTTGTTACTAAACTTTTCTAAAATGGATCAGAATATAGCTGATGTGCTGAATGAAATCTGGGACATAGTAAGCATAACCTCTCCTAGCAGAACTCAAATGATAGGGCTTCAGGGGGGCAAGGAGGCTAAGAATCATATAAGCCGGTCACCCCCCTGACACTTTAATCCCCCCTACCTCGCCCACTCCTGCCTGAGGCAAGTGGACCACCATTTTAAGCCTGAATGAGGGTTTCCTGTAAAAGAAAAATTGCCACTTCTTGAGTCAGCCTGTGAAGCTCTGCACAGCTGTATTAGAAAAAACATTTTCGTATCAAAGTCGTATCTATTTCTCGCGTATTGTTTCATTCATTCACCTGTGGTAGGCACAGAGTGATATAGGACTAACGGATCAGACGTCGTCCACCCTCTCTGCGAGTCTGCGGTCTAGCAAGGCTAACACCGTTTGACAATTAGAAATAGCATTGGTGCCCAACAGAGAAGCAGCCAGTGCTCAGGAGCCAGAGAGGCCTCCTGGAGGAAGTGATGTTTCCTGCAGGAGGAGGAGGAGTTAGCCAGGTCAACAAAATTTTTCCCCCTTGGGGCCATGAAGGATAGGCCTAAAGCCTTTCCAGATGACAGCCCCCCAGGTATTTGAAGACAGCCTTTCTGTCTCTCTTCATCCTTATTTTATCCTAACATTTCCAAGTTCTGTTGCTATTCTTCATTTGATGGGTGTTAAATATATTCACCATTTTAATGTTATACTTTATAAAGTGTGCTGGTCACGTAGAAATAAAAATTTCAGATGAAACCCAGGCTTGAATAAAATGGAATCATCATCTCTTTCTTCTTAAGTTGTAATTCTACTGATGTAGCCTGCTATATTAACTCTCAGTAAGCACATTATTGACTTTCAGTGTCCTTATTGCCAATTAAAATTCTTAATAAAAATTTTAATGTGTATTCTTGTTAAGCCATACATTTCTTATATTTTTTTCCATTGTTTTTGGACCCTAGACTAGAATCATACATTCAGTCCTATTAAATGCTATCACCTTATTAGGCCCATCCTTTCAGGAATCTCTTGTTGACTTCTAACTAATATGCTGTTTTTTCAGATAAGTTGGACCAGTATTTTCTCTATGATTTCATTTAAATCCTATTGCATAGAATAGACAAGTCAAGCACTTGGCCCTCCACTGACGACCTCCGGTGAGGTTGAAATGGGATACTGGATAAATAAATTAATCAGTTACAAATCTTCCTAGTTAGGCTGTCATCTTGTTCACATCAATTTCTCAGTTTGTGTGTAATTTTGAAAATGAGAGATAATATTTGTTAGATGAATAGTTTTAAAAAAATAGATAATGCTTTACGTCTTAGGTTGGGCTGCTATAACAAAATACTGTAAACTGGTGGCTAATGAACAGCATAAATATCTTTCTTACAGTTCTGGAGGCTGGAAGTCCAAGGTCAGAGTCCCAGTATGGTCGGATTCTGGTGAGAGCTGTCTTCTAGTTTGCAGACTAATGACTTCTTATAACCTCACCTGGTAGAACAAGAGTGAGCTAGCTCTCTGGCCTCTTGGAAGGGCACTAATTCCATCATGAGGGCTCCACTCACATGACCTAATTACCTCCTAAGGACCCCACTTCCAAATACCATCACACTGGGGATTAAATTTCAACATATGAATTTAGTGGGGATACAGACATTCAGTCCATAACACTTTTTTTTAAAATATTTTATTTATTTATTTGACAGAGAGATAGAGTACAGGAAGGCAGAGAGGCAGGGAGAGAGAGAGGGAGAAGCAGGCTCTCCGCTGAGCAGGAAGCCGATGTGGGGTTCGATCCCAGGACCCTGGGATCATGACCTGAGCCGAAGGCAGACGCTCAACCGACTGAGCCACCCAGGCACCCCCAGTCCATAACACTTTAATAGCTACAGTGAGCTACTCACGACAAGTGTTGTTTCTCTTATGATGTGCTTCAGTCTATACGATCTCAGAAAGACACTACAAGAAAAATGAAATGCAACATTTTCTGCTGGGGATACATATTGAGTGAGGAGGTCTATATAAATATTAAAAGGTGAGACTATGAGACAAGTTTATTTGGAGATGTAGGTCAAGAAATAATTCATATCTCTTTTTTTATTCAGTCTTTGAAATTATAGATTTTATGTATTCTATTTCATTTAAAAATATTTTTTCAATATTATATGTTATTTTTTTTAAAGATTTTATTTATATGAGAGAGAGAGAGAAAGCATGAGCAGGGGGAGTGGCAGGCAGAGGGAGAAGCAGGCTCCCCGCTGAGCATGGAGCCGACCCAGGGCTCGGTTCCAGGACCCCGGGATCATGACCTGAGCCGAAGTCGGACACTTAAATGAATGAGCCACCCAGGTGCCCCTTGTATGTTATGTTTTATTTTGAAATTTTGGTATTATGGGCAGAATTGTTTTGTCAGAATTCGTATGTTTTAGTCTTAACCCCTAGTACCTCAGAATGTGACTGTATTTGGAGACAGGGCCTTTGAAAAGGTGATTAAGTTAAAATGAGGCCGTTAGAGTGAGCCCTAATCTGATCCGACTGGTGTCCTTACAAGAAGAGGAAATTTGGACAGAGAGAGTCTAGGGATGGGCGTGTGCAGAGAAAAGATAATGTGAGGAAATAAGTTTCCATTGTTTATGCCCCCCAGCCTGGTTTTGTTGTTGTTATGTCCTCTCTAGCAAACTAATATATATGGGAAATTGTGAAATTAGACAGAATTAAAGAAAATATTAAAATGAAACCCGTAAATCCATCATCAAACCTCAACAGTTCTCAACTCCTGGGAAAACTGGTTTCATCTATATTCCCCCTACTCCTCAACAACTAGATAGATTATGAAGAAAATTCTAGACATTATATAATTGTATCAAATATATTTATCATGTATTTTTAAAAGAAAGAACTCTGTTTAAAAACATAATCACAGGGATGCCTGGATGGCTCAGTTGTTAAGCATCTGCCTTCGGCTCAGGTCATGATCCCAGGGTCCTGGGATCGAGCCCTGCATCGGGCTCCCTGCTCACCGGCAAGCCTGCTTCTCCCTCTCCCTCTGCTTGTGTTCCTGCTCTCGCTGTGTCTCTCTCTGTCAAATAAATAAAATCTTAAAAAAAAAAAAAATCACAGTACAAATATAACGCTTTAAAAATTATCAATACTTCCTTAATACCATAAAATATCCAGTCTGTTGTTACATTTCTAATTATCTCCTGTCATAATATAATTCAAGGTCCTTCTTGCCCATCTTACCCATCCCCATATTTCTCTTTTTCCCTTGTTTTTCCTTGCAATTTATTTGTAGGAAAAACTGGGCTGGTTGTTTCATAGTTTTCACAGGCTCTAAATTTTGCGCGCTGCCTTACTGGGTGTGGTTTAACAGATTCCTTCATTCTGTTGATTTTTCTGCAAATTGGTAAAATTGATTAGCAGCTTGACCAAATTCAGACCTGTTTTTTTGTTTGTTGTCAAGATGCTTCATAGGTAGTATTGTGTTCTACCATCAGGTTGTCCGATTCTCTCTCTCTTAATGATATTAGCGGTTAATGATCAATGCTCAGATTCCTTAGGAGTCCTAAAATCTTCTATTCTGATTCTATCATATTTTTACAATTTATTAGCTTTAATACTTCTAAAAGAAAAAAATTTTTCATCTTCCATTTGGTCACCTATGTTAGTTTGTATTTTACTGTTTGACAGAAACAACATAGAGCTCTATACTGATAAAAAACTTGTATTGAATAAAAGCTTGATTAGAGGTAAAATTAAAACAATAAAAATGATATAGACATTTACCTGACTTATATGGCATAAATATGTACTCTGTTTAAAATCATTACTTCATGCCAGTTCTCAGCAAATAGCAGGATGGTTCAGGAGTTCATTGAATTGATTTCTGTTTTTAAAAAAATCACATTCGTAGATTTTATCCATTTACACTGCTTTCACCTGGTAATTGAAATTATCACCATTAACAGTACTTAGGCTTCCTTTTCTTTCCGACTGCACTTGTATTATCATGATAATGACATTTTTTACATCTACAGTGAATTTTCATGCTAAAATATCTCAGAGGATCTTACCTATATTGCAAATAAAATACTAAAAAGC